GCCCACCTGGACATGCAGCTGTATCAAGATTTCTACACCGTCTGGGTTTTTCTGATGGTAAGATCAAATGCTGAATAAATCTTATGTTACACTCCAGTATTTGCTATTTCTGTGCAGTTCCTTAAGTTGTTTTTACACTTGTTTAGCGTAAGCAGATAAAAGCAAGGACCCTGCCTAAATAAATTGAATAGATTAAATTTACCAAGAAAAGACTCAATAATAGCATAAAATCCTGCACACAGGACCCTTGCACTCCAGAATATCCCAAACTGAGAAGATATTAAGCCTTTAAATATGCAAGTAGCTCTGCATGACCAATAAACTAAGGGTCCATCCCTCCCTGCTGCAGGTGTTTAACTCTCTGATGCTGGTGGTTGGGGTGGTCCTCAACGGCCTGGCTCTCTACGTTTTCTGCGGTGCCTCTGCACACTCTTCAGCCTCCGTGGTTTACACCATAAACCTGGCCGTGGCTGACCTGCTGGTGGCTCTGTCGCTGCCAGCTCGCATCGCTCTGTACCACAGTGGAGGGAGCTGTGTGGCCTGCTCATACGTCCACACCTTCAGCTACTTTGTCAATATGTACTGTAGTATCCTGTTTCTGACCAGGTGGGTGAGTCATAACCTCATTTATCACATAACAAGGAGCTGTTATGCTTTTCATTATTTTTAGTTATGTGCATTCTTTTAGTTGGATGCTCATATTCAATGTGGTAACATACACAGATAACCCTGTGGACCAAACGTTCGGCTTCTGGCTGGTCTAATTTCTTGATTTCCAGAAGTTCTTGTGTCAAGGTGATATCAGTTTGGCATGGATTTCCTTATACCGTCATCTCAGGCTAGGACTGAGATGAAAGAAGCTTTTGTTTGTGGAAGCCAGGCAAGGGGCAGCCAATCAGAAGAAAGGCAGGGTTTTAAGGAGTGAAGCCTTAAAGAAGCCTAGTTTATCAAAAAATAAATTGGAATAATATGTCCCCTCTATCAATATTCACTGATGGCTTTCTATTCAGCATCTGTATCGATCGGTACCTCGCTGTCGTCCACGCATCCAGTACCCTTCATCGATGGAGGACCATAGGAGCGGCCAGGTGTGTCAGTGCCACTGTGTGGTTCATTGCAGTCGTGGTCACCTACTCTTTTCAGGTGAAGAGACTCACTAAAAACACAGCACACACAGGATGAGCTCTCAGTGTATAAATCCACAAAATAAATTTTAAATTATCCTGAGTATTAAAACTTATCAGTGATGACCGTCAATTAATCAAATAATGATTTTCATGAGGTTGCAAGCAAAGTAGGAGGAGTCTTGGTTTACAGAACAGTCAGGATCTAAAGAAGAGGAGAGCTGACAAGACTGTCAAGCTGAGACAAGCTAAAAATGCTAAAAGGCTAAATCATGATAGAATCGCTCTCCTTCTCTCTCTAGACCACAGCTTTGGAGTTCAGTTCCTCCTGCATGGTCCTCCCTGCCCTCTTCTATCTCACCATCCTGGAGTTTCTCCTCCCCCTGCTCGCCGTGTTGGTCTTCACTCTGCGCGTCACCTGTTTTCTCTCCTCCAGCCACAGCGGGATGCCCCACCAGAGCAGGGTGAGGAGGACTCGTGCCATCAGGCTTTTGGCCACCGTCCTGGTGGTCTTCACTGTGTGTTTCACACCCTTCCACGTCCGCCAGGTGCTGGTTTACTTCCAGTTCAGAGTGGCGGGGGAGGCGCCTGGGCAAGGGGCGAGGGATGTGCTTGCCTATCACATCACCGTGACCTTGAGCAGCCTGAACAGCTGCCTGGATCCAGTGGTTTACTGCTTTGTGACGGATAGCTTCAAGAGAATGTGGAGGACCAGGAGAAGGGGAGGCAGAGAGGAGGACGGGGAGGTGGGGTTTACAAGTGGCATCGAAGGGGAGAGGAATTCGGTGAATAAATGCTCGGGTACGGCACTGGCGATAGCTCAGAGCATAGCCACGCTAACGCTCACAAGCGCACCCCTCTCTACAGCCAGCGCTCACCACTCTGATTGGACAGGCGGCCATGTTTAAGGAAACCAGTGATGGCACAGTTCAGAGAGACAGCTGGAGACAGTGACACATGTCGAGTTTGTTTTGCTGTGAAACCAATGAACTTACACTGCTTCAAGTTTCAAAAGCTGCTGGATTACACACAGAAAAAAAAAAACTATGTATGTGGGGAGTTGATGTTTGGCTTGTGTTCCAGTGGCACCTCATCAAAGTTTGTGATGTAAAAATTCAGATTGACCAGGGGGAAAAAACCCTTTTATTCACAAACAAGCTTTTTATTTAGTCATCGTTCTGTCTGGATACTTCTTTAACACTCTTTGTAAATTCCTGCACACAATGTGAGTTAAACAAGGCTTTACCTGTGCCTTTATTCCCTTTCTCGCTCTTTTTTAAACTAAAATTTTTCCATTAGAAATAAAAAACAAAAAGTTGTATAGTAGGTAAATCTGGCAAACTACCGTGACTAAATCCTACGCTTTAGAATAGAAATACTCCTTTTGTGTACTTTTGTAGACCATTTATTTGACTGCTTTGATTTTTTAGGATGCATTTGACTCTGATTCATCAATATGTCTGTATTGAGTCACACTGAATGTTGAAAGCCTTCAAAAATGACATTTGCAACATTAAAATGAAGAATAACAGAAAGA